TTTTTTTGTATTTTTAGTAGAGATGGGGTTTCACTATATTGGCCAGGCTGGTTTTGGACTCCTGACCTCAAGTGATCCGCCTGTCTCGGCCTTCCAAAGTGCTGGGATTACAGGCACAGGCGTGAGTCACCACTCCTGTCCTATCTGCATTCTCTTAATAGTTTCTTAGGAATGGATTCTTAGGAGTAGGATTATAGAGTCAAGAGACACAAATATTCTAGGCTGGGTGCGGTGGCTCACATCTGTGCCTGTAATCCCAGCACTTTAGGAGGCCAAGGTGGGCAGCTTGATTGAGCTCAGGAATTCGAGACCAGCCTGGGCAACATGGTGAAACCCCATCTCTAAAAAAATACAAAAATTAAACCAGGCGTGGTGGTGTGTGCCTGTAGTCCTAGCTACTAAGGAGGCTGGGGTGGGAGGATCGCTTGAGCCCAGGAGGTTGAGGCTGCAGTGAGCTGTGATTGCACCACTGCACTCCAACCTGGGCCACAGAGTGAGACCCTGTCTCCAAAATAAAAAAGATACAAGTATCCTTAAAGCTCCTGCTACCCATGGCCAGGAAGATAGTCTACTGGACAGTTTTAAGGTCATATCAATATTATTTAATTCCCCCCAAAACTCTGTAAAGCACATTCTGTTACCATAATGCTCATATTTTTGATGGGGGAATCTACAGTGAGAGGCAGTGCTGGGATCTGAACCCTATCTGGACAGATTAGCTCCAGGGCCCATGCCCTTGACTGCCTGGCCATGCTGCCCACACTGAGTTGTTCCTTCCTGGCAGTGTAGGTGTGCCTATCTCAGGGACATCAGACAGCTCCGAGGGACCTCCCTGTCCTTTTTCTTTGTGAACTGTGTCACGTTCTCCAGAGCAGCGCTCAGCCCTGCCCTGCCTGCTCTGTGCAGATGATCTTGGCTAAGGTTTTCACACTGGAACAAGTTGGGCCCTCCTCCCCACCCCAGCCTCCCCTTGCCCCTCCTCCAGGTCTCCTGCCTAGGAGCAGCTTGCCCTGTCTCCTCCAGAGTCCTGCCCTAGAAGCCCCAATCCCTCTCCTTCCATCCCCTGCCTGGCTGCCTGGCTCCTTCCCTCAGCCTCCAAGACATGCTCAGTTTTCTTCCCGCCTAAAACACCGCCCACTGTCTCATTTCCATTCATTTCTTTCTTTTTTTTTTTTTTTTTTGAGAGGGAGCCTCACTCTGTCACCCAGGCTAGAGTGCAGTGGCATGACCTCCACTCACCGCACCCTCTGCCTCCCAGGTTGAAGCAATTCTCCTGCCTCAGCCTCCTGAGTAGCTGGGATTACAGGTGCCTGCCACGATGCCTGGCTAATTTTTGTATTTTTATTAGAGACGGGGTTTCGCCATGTTGGCCAGGCTGGTCTAGAGCTCCTGACCTCAGGCAATCCGCCCGCCTTGGCCTCCCAAAGTGCTGGGATTACAGGCGTGAGCCACCGCGCCCGCTCATTCATTTCTTAGTCCTTTGCATCTACTTGCCCCTCTATCCCGCCATGCCACCTATAATAAGCTTCCCCCTTAAACCTGCGGGTTTGGCTGGGCGCAGTACACTGAGTCAGTACCGGTACTGACCCAGGTACCCCTCCAGCCTCAGCTCCAGCCAGATGGGATGGCCTGCTGGTCCCTGGCTGCTCATGCCCCCTCTTCTGGAGTCCCAGTCCTCGAGGCTCCATGTAGCTCAGCAGAATTTCTTCTCCTCCTGTTGTGGGGGCCTCTTGAGGGCAGCACTCACCTTGGGAAGCGTGGAGTGTTTCACCCTCACTGCTCCCTGAAGGACCAAGGTGTCCCATTTTACAGTAGGGGGAGGAGGCACTGTGATAAAGGGGCTCTTCAGACCCATGTCTGAGAGAGCCAGGCTGCTGCCCCCGCAGCCTCCCACCCTTCACTGTCCAGCCAGGGCCACTGCCATCACCGCCTGCCGGCCCTCACAGGCGTCGCAGTCCCAGGCAGTGAGAAGGTGGCTGCTGACTCCTTTTTCCTCCCCAGCTGCCCGGGAACTGGTGAGCAAAGAGGGCTTCCGGCGGGCCCGGCACGTGGTGGGGGAGATTCAGCGCACGGCCCAGGCAGCGGCCGCCCTGAGACGCGGTGACTACAGAGCCTTTGGCCGCCTCATGGTGGAGAGCCACCGCTCACTCAGGTGAGGCCCTCTGGGCACCCCGCTCCTGCCAGGCGCAGGCTGGCCCCAGGCCCACCCCTTCGATATCCTCTCTGCAGAGACGACTATGAGGTGAGCTGCCCGGAGCTGGACCAGCTGGTGGAGGCCGCACTCGCTGTGCCTGGGGTTTATGGCAGCCGCATGACGGGCGGTGGCTTCGGTGGCTGCACGGTGACACTGCTGGAGGCCTCTGCCGCTCCCCACGCCATGCAGCACATCCAGGTGGGCGGGCACCAGGGCCTGGGTGGGCAGGAGCGGCCATGCAGCACATCCAGGTGGGCGGGCACCAGGGCCTGGGTGGGCAGGAGCGGCGGCTTCCCGGGGCCCTGCCACTCACCCCCAGCCCGCCTCTCACAGGAGCACTATGGCGGGACTGCCACCTTCTACCTCTCTCAAGCGGCCGATGGAGCCAAGGTGTTGTGCTTGTGAGGAGGCCCCAGGACAGCACACGGCGAGGGTGCAGGGCCTGCAGGCCAGTCCCATGGCTCTGTGCCTGGTGCCACCTTCCGTATCTGGGTGCTCAATAAACTTGTGCCTCCAACGTGGTACCTGCCTGCCTCTAGAGGTGGGTGTATGCTTGGGTGTCAGAGAATGGGGGATGTCAGAACCGCTCCCCCACCCTCGACGAGCACCTCTCAGGCCCCAGAAGAATGGGCAAGGCAGGGCCTAGCAGTAGCAAAACTGTTTATTAAGTGCAGAACAAAGGCTGGGTCCTTGTGCTGCTCCCAGCTCTTTGGTTACAAATAGGTTTGGGCCCAGAGAGGGGGTCCTTGCCCCCTTCATGCCTCCCAGGAGACACCTAGCCCCTGCTCTGTGCTTGTGGGTGGGCTGGGCGGCCAGGGGTGCAATAATGGAGTAGCGGAGGAGGCTCTGGGAGAGGAGTTGGAAGGACGCCTAGTGGGACATGGCGGGGGTAGGGCAGGGTGGGATCAGGTTTGGAAGAACTGTTGGTCCACCTGGGTGCTGAGGGTTCCGCTGGTGGTCAGCGTCCGGCTCACAAACTCCTGGGTCACATGCCGGGTGAGGGAGCCGCCTGCCTCCAGGTGCTGGGCCCCCAGGGTCAGCCCATCTGTGGAGGAGGAGGCATTAGATGACCTGGCCTGGGGTCTGCCCCTCTCCCTCTGCTAGCTCCCTGTCCTGGGAGAGCCGGGACACCCTGGCCCTCAGTGCTCACCCACTAGGAAGGGCTCGGTGGCGCTGGTGTGAGTGGTGGTGATGCTGCTGTACTCACTTTGCAGCGGGTGCTGGAAGAGCCCGGCATGGCTGCCCAGCTGTGGGAAGGGGCCTGGAGTGGGCAGATTGGCTGGTCAGAGGGTGGTGCCAGGAGAAGGCACGGCCCAAGGAGGAGTGGGAGGTGAAGGAAAGGACAGGTGCCTACCTCCATCCTGGGACTCTATGGTGATGATGCCCTCGCGCTCTGGCCCAAAGCCCTCAGTGGTCCTGGCCTGCACCTTGAACTTGTAGGGCACGTTCTCGCTGAGGCCTGGCACGGTCAGCCGGCTCTCGGGGCTGTCGCCATCCACCCGGAATGTAGTGGCTGGCCCTGAGCAGAGAAGATGCCTTCAGCCTCTGCGGCCCCTCTCTACCCCTCCCCTGGCCACCCCTGCTCCCGGGGCGGGCAGCACCTCCTCCTTGGGCCATCTCACAGGTCACCAGGTAGCCGACGATATCCCCATTGGGCCTCCGTGGCCGCTCCCAGCTCAACTGCAGCGAGTCTGGGCTCAGGGCAGTGAACACCAGCGGGCCTGGGGCGCTGGGAGTGCTCAAAGTGAAGGCGGAGCCTGGGGGCAGTAGAGGAAGAGCGTCAGCGTGTGGGTGGGTGGTGGGCATGATGGGGGCAGCTGTGGGGCTAGGGGAGGCAACTCACCTGGCAGGGGACAGAGTGGGCTCTGCGGGTGCACCTGGGATTCGATGGTGATGACGCCCTCACGCTCTCGGCCCCAGCCTTCCTGGCTCTGGGCCCGCACGCGGAACACATAGGAGTGGTTGGGCAGGAGGTCTTCCACCACCACCGAGGTCTGGGCAGGGTTGGGGATGTTGAGCCGATGTAGCTCGCCTGAGGGGTCAGGTAGGGGCAGAGAGTAGTGCAGTGTTACTCCCACCCCTGGCCTGATCCCCCTCTTCCCTAAGCTGCCATCGAGACCTGGTTATCACCCACCCAGGACTAGCTGTGGTTTGGGTACAGGTTAGGTACAGTATGGTATGGCTGGTTGTTCAGGTTGTGTACTATACAAGAGTGGAGCCTGTAATCCCACTCATGTTTGGGTAAAATCCTGCACCCTGGTCATGCTGCTTTGAATGTGCCTGCCCAGGGAAGTAAAACTTCCTCGTTCCCCCCAAAGGCATCTCAGGCCAGCAGAGGCTCTAGGATCCCAGCCCAAAGAGGCCTTGTTAGGCAAAACCTAGCAGAGAATGACCAGGAGAGAGGCCCAGGGAGGTGGGTGAGACCTCAGAAGAGGGGAGGCAAAGAAGTGGGGTGGGAGACCCTCTCGGGCTGGATGGGGGCTTTAGCGCTTAAGGGATTCGGGTGGGTTCTGACACAGCCGGTGCCCTATGTGTCACCCTGGGGCCAGGCCTCGCGGGGCTGCACCCCACAGCCCAGCAGCCACCATGTCTCACCGCCGTTCAGCAGCTGGTACTCCACGCTGTAGCCCTGCAGCGGCCGCTCGCACCGCGGCTCCTGCCAGCTCACTCTGAGAGATGTGGGTCCCAGGGCAGAGAACACCAGGCGGGTGGGCGTGTCGGGCACACCAGCGGTCAGGCGAGAGTCTGGGGACAGGAGGCTGCAGTCAGTCAGAGATGCAGGGGCTGGGGTCTCAGTGGGAGTCACAGTGCTGCCCCCTGACCTCCCTCCCTCGGCTGGCATGTCTACACTGATCTGATCGCCGGCTGGACAACTCACCCTGCAACACCCTGTCCAGGCTGCCCAGCACCTACCGCACATCCTCCAGGAGGGTGCGGGCCCTGCCTGTGCCAAGAGAGGGTGAGCCCTGTGAGCCTGCCAGCCCCACCCCCTCAATTCCTCAGCTGGCCTGGCCCCTCTCCTGCCCCAGCCACAGCCCCGCCCCCTGGAAGGGCAGAGGCAGTGTTAGGCATCAGCACTGATGGTAGGGCAGGTAGTTAGTGCCTGTGGGCAGGCGGGGGTCCTGTGGATGGAATGGAGGGGAAGCAGTGGGCACAGCTGGCGGCTGCTATGGTGGCTGGATGACAGCTGGATGACAGATGGAGCAGGACAGCTGTGGAGACAGGATGGCCACCCCTGTACTACCTGGGCCCCAGGAGGGCGCTGCTGGCCTCCCAGCCAGGATTATAGAGTCTCGTGGGCCCCTGGAAGGGGGGAACCCTTTCATCTGAGCCCGACTCCGGGACCCCAGAGCCCAGGACAGCGGAAGCCTGCTCCTCCCGTGTTCCCAGATGGGAGGGAGGCCTAGGGCAGGACAAAACAAGAGTGAGAGGATCAAGGAGTGTGCATGCATAAGTGTGCGTGCGTGCGTGCATGCATGTGTGCGTGTGTGCATGCATGTGTGCGTGTGTGCATGCATGTGTGTGTGTTGGAGAATGGACCGTCGGGACAGCAGGCAGAAGCCCGAGGCTCCAGGAGCTGGAAGAGAGGAAGGGTTAGTGGGCGAGGCAGGGTTGGCTGAGGTCACTCACCGTGGGAGGAGACGGAGGTGAGGGTGGAGTAGTCCCTGGGCAGTGTGGTCGAGTGTGAGTGTTCCGAGCGGGTCAGCGAGTGGTAGTCCCGTGTGAGGGTGGAGGATGTGCTTAGTCCACGGTGGGGCACGTGGGGGCTCAGGTGGGTGCCATAGGCAGCGGCGCCGGTCGTGTTCATCCTGTGCAGGGAGTTGGTGCTGCCGGGGAAGGCAAAGTCCATCCGGCCATTCACCAGGTGCTCTGCAGGGGGAGAGCAGGGTCCCTTAGTCAGGCCTGCCCCAGACCCAGGCCCCAAGGAGCAGGTTGGCCCTGCGCATTCCTGGTCACCCACCCTCTGGGTGGCTTTTGCTTAAATACAACCAGTTTCCCTCAAACCACTAGGGACAGAGGCCCTCTGTCCCTGGATGAGCCCAAGGGCCACCCAGGCTTCCACAGCCCATGTCCTCTGGCTGGCCACTATATCGGTATGAGCACAGCCCACCCTGGCAGTGGTGGGGGATTTGCTGCCCCTGCAGTCAGTCCTGCCTTGGGGAAATCCCAAAGCCTTCCCTCCTGTCCTTTGAGGCCCCTGAGCAGTCTACTTGGGTGCCAGGGTCCGCTCCCCGAGCAGACTTCTGAATTTGCACCCCCTGGCCAGGCAGGCACCATAAGGGCCCAAGCGCCTGCCTCAGATGTCCCCTGGCACTGGGCCCTGCCTCTGAGCAGCTGTGTCCCCAGCCGCCAAGGCCCCAGCCTGGCTGAAACTGGGGCCCGGAGGCAGCGCAGACACCCACCCCAGGCACCCAGGCCCGCGGGCATGAGTGAGGCTGGGTGGGTGCGGATCGGGGCGTGGCGGGTGAGCCTGTCACCTCCGGGGGGCCCGGGTGTCGCACTGCGGGGCAGGCTGCCCCCCTTCCCGCCCGCGCCGCCGTCCTCCGGGGGCCCGTGGGGCGCCTCGGCGTCGGAGGAGCGCCCGCTGCTGGCCGACAGGCGCGGGATGAGCTCCGGGGGCAGCCGCCACGTGACACGCCGCAGGTCCAGCTCCTCCCCCAGCAGGGGCTCGAACTTCCAGCCGCAGCCTTGGGAACAACGAAGGGCCGCGTTGGCACCGCCTAGGAGCGCCGGGCCGAGCAGGGCCAGGCAGGGGAAGGCCGGAGGCGCTGCGAGGGGAGCCTGTCTCCAGCTCCCGGGATCGCAGGGAGCTGCGGGGGTAGATGCGCAAGGCCGGATGGGGAAGGCCTGGGGCAGGTGAAACCCTCGCGCGGCTGGAGGCTTTCCAGATGAGCAAGTGCAGCCTTGGCACAGCTGGAGAGGAGAGACCCCCTGGCCCGCCAGGAGACCTGGGGGAAGCCTGGGCTCTGTCACCAGCTGTGAGGTCTCCCTTGCCTTACTTAACCTCTCTGAGACTCAGTTTCCCATTTGTACAATGGAGAGAGGACTCTCGCCCCTGCCTGCCTCCCAGGGACTGTTCCGCAAGCCACCGAGTGCTTCGCAGGTAGTGTCAGAAGCAGCTGAGTTGGGGTTCCAGAGTCACACCAGCTGCGCTCCACCTGAACCCCTCAAAATGGCTCCTTAAGCCCAAGCTCAGCCCCGTGGGGGCCAGTATGTGTTCACTGGGGGCAGCTTGAGGCATAGGCAGGGACGGAAGAAAATACAAATGATATATGTGCCCCGGAGGCTTTTCCACTCATGGTACTGTGTGATTGGTATCCCATTATACAGAGCAGAAAACTGACGCAAGGAGAGGATAAGTGATTCATCTGATGTCCCACAGGTGGAGCCAGAGCTGACACTGAGCACTCAGGAGGCCCAGCTAAGGGCTCTGCACCACTTTGTTCTGGGAATCAAGGAGGAAGGACAGAGCGGTTGGGGGGTGTTCTTGTCTCCTTGGCTCCCCTACCCCTGCCGGGTGGCCACCTGGTGGCTGCCCAGGACTTCTGGGCCAGGCCCCGGGGGGTGGCCTGAGTGTCCTGTGTGCATGGCAGAGCTGCTCAACCTTCAAGTTGTGAAATTGTGTTTCTTCATGGTCCCGTGGGCATGAACTCGTGTGTGCTTGCACAAGGCTGTGTGTGTCCGTCCCCCAGGCACTGGTTCCTGTGTCCCGTGCACAGATGTGCACACCATTGCATCTGTCCAAGGCTGTCTTAACCTCCATGTCCTCTAGTTGCTGGCCCCTTTGCCCTCCCTCTGTACCCAAGACCCCCACTGTCTTCTTGTGGGTCCCAGGTCTCCACTCACCGGTGTCATCGGAGACGCTGGGCCTCTGGCTGCCAGATGGAGAGCGTAGAACATCATCGCTGTACATAAGGAAGCTGTCGTAGTCCTCCCCGCTCTGGGCGTCCACGATGGGGATGTCAGGGATGATGGGGACTGCAGGGTGGGGGAGTGAGCCAGGGCCCTGGCTGCTGCCCTCTGTCCCCCTACCCCGTCTGCCCCTCACCTCCCTGCCCACCACTCACTGGACATGGGCCGCTTGGGTTGGGTGGCCAGGTTGATGATGGCCTCCCGCTCGGGCCCCCAGCCGGCCCCGTTGCGCGCCTTCACCGTGTAGCGGTAGGGCTGGGACTCCCGAAGGTTCTCAATGAGCAGCATCCGGTTCTTAGGATTGTCAACCAGCACCTTCTTCATGGGCCCGATAGGTCCTGGGGCAGGGAGAGTGCTTCAGAGGGTCACCCAGGTCCCAGCCTGGTCCCAGCACCAGCCCTGACACAGTAGGACAGTCGTGCATCCCCTGGATAGCACCCAGGGGTTGGGGAGCAAGGCAAAGCCAGCCACTGCTGAATTGCTGCCTGTGGAGCCCCGAGTGTCAGCGTGACTGGTGTGGACATGTGTCACCAGCCCTCCAAGGGACTCTGCTGAGTAAGTGGCAGAGCCAAGGCTGGAGTCAACATCAAGTTGGCCTCGATGCCACCTCTACCTATATATCCACGGTGCCTCCACACGAGGCAAGGGCACGCATAGGGGGTTGCCCACCCCGCCCCCCTTCCAGGACTGGAGAAATAACTGTTCTGCCAGGCACTCTGATCTCAGGCTGCCAGATAAAACACTGTATAAAATAATCTTTTTTTTTTTTTTTTTTTTTTTTTGCGGCGGAGTCTGGCTCTGTCACCCAGGCTGGAGTGCGGTGACATGATCTCGGTTCACTGCAACCTGAGCCTTCTGGATTCAAGCAATTCTTCTGCCTCAGCCTCCTGACTAGCTGGGACTACAGGCATGAGCCACCATGCCTGGCTAATTTTTAGTAGAAACAGGGTTTCACCATGTTAGCCAGGCTGGTCTTTTTTTTTTTT